CAAAGGCAGATGCTCAACCAACTAAGCCACCCAGGCACCCCTGGAATTATTCTCTTTAAATGCTTTGTATATTGCTTAACACCTGTGATTAGTGAACATTAAACCTTTCATCAAATCAGAATCAGAAGTATGTTATTTTCATGTATTATAAAAAATCAACAGCTCCTTAAATGATTTTTCCACTTCTTAAATAAGCTTTCATACTGAGACCTCACAACTCTATGGAAATAAAATTTCAACAATTTGTAGAGCTTTGTTTTCTCTCTTTCCCTTTCTCTCTTTTAAATATGGAGAACTGTGACCCTATTGCATGGGGGGCCTGGTGATACACAAAGAACCCTCTGGAATCTAGGGAGGGGTGAGGTGAATCTCTGGCTAAGAGCTGTGGGAGAGGCAGGGTTCACCCCTGGGCTCTCCTGCTGCCCAGCCAATCTCTCCCAACTCTGTGTCTCACAGATATGCTATGAGCACCTCTCATCTGTTCCTTCACTTCAATGCCCTCCCATGTCCATAAGGCAAAAATCCAAACTCTTCAGCTTAATGTTCAAAATCCTGCCTCCACACTCTTTCTTTCTGACTGAATTACCAACTACTAAAGCCCATGAAGTTTCCAACCAAGAAAGTTGGTCTCTTTAATAAAAATAAAAACTAGCATTTGATTTCTTGGGGTGTGAAACTCATTGTGCCAAACTCTTTATTGGCATTTTATTATCATACCAATCCTTTGAGGAAGATACTACCACTATCCCTGTCATTTGAATACAGAAACAGATTTAGAGAGGTTAAGTAACTTGCCAAGGTCACAGAGCTGGTCAGTTGCTGGACCTGGGATTTGACTCTAGACTGAATCCATAATAGGGGCTTGTAAACTCAACACTGTATCTCAATCATATGTATCTGCCTGCCCTCTTCTGATGCAGTGGTTCTCCCATTCCTGATTGATTTTCTCACATCTCCGTACTTCAAAGATCCTATTTTAATCCTTCTCATACTTCAAAGATCAGTTAAAGACCCTTTTCTTTCTAAAGCCTTCCATTCAGATTCAGCCTCCGTAACGGTGTATTTCAACTCCTATAGGACTTGGAAGTGCTCATTCCGCCCTTGGCATTTACTGCCTTATGTTGTCAATCTCCTTCTGGGTATATTTATTTCTTCAAGGATCAGGAGCTCTTTGAGGGGGAAAAGCTCTGGAACTAGGAAGGCCTAAACTGAGAGACTGTGGGAGAGCCACTTAACCCTTCAGAGCTTCAGAGTTTTTTCTCATAAGAAATAAAAATGCTAGCCTGCACTGCTGCCATGAATATTTAATGAGATACCTAAGAGTGTTTAGTGTAGACCAGTGCAAGTATGAACTCAAAAAATATGTTTCCTTTCCTTATCCGGGGCTGCTAAGTTTGTTACTTCTTTGTAATTGCACAGCCTTTTGTATATAGTGGGTTCATTTAACCCTGGATGGCTTTTATCTGGAAAGAAACATTAGTATTTTAAGCTTTTGTTTGCTTCTTGGCAAATGCCCATCTCTATACTGAGTCATTACATTAATGAACCCATTTCTTTTAGATATATAAAAAAATCCAGGAATAGCTCCAGTTATAAAACAAAGTTCTATAAGTATATTAAATAAGTAATTTGGAAATGCGTATTGAAAAGAAATCTTTAATCCGTCTGGCAGGTAAAACAGGTAACAATATCATCAGCAGATTAATAGGTTTTAGGCTACTGACTTTGAGAGAGCCAACAAATTATAAAAACTCACTGTTGGACGCTGTCTGGAATACTTTCTGGGTAAGGTACTAAAAGAGAAATGCATTTGGGAGAAATATTCTAGAATACCATATGAAATACCATTTCATCCATAGAAACTGCATTTTTGTTTCAACATGTTTTATACAAAAGTCCTCAACTGAAATGGCAGTCTTGGGGAACCAAGATCCAATTAATTAAGAGGGAAATACTCAGCTCATCCAGCTCTACAAATTCTAGAGGTTGCAGATTGGTGAAATGAATTGTGGATCCACTAACCTGCTTAAAGCTACTGGAATTTGAATGTGTTTAGGCAGGCACATGTACCACAGTCTGCCACAATCCTTACTATTCCCTATTGCACTATACCTTCTGGCTAGCTTTATTGACGAAAGACTGTTTCCAACTCCCAGATTAACACAGAAATCTGGTTTCACGACATCACAAATGTGGTTTCCTAAACTCACTTGGGGGTAAGGGAAGGTCCCAGTTCTGAGTAGGCATATCAGTGCCTCTCTTCATACCTTGTTTAATGAGTTCTTTAATTCTCCCTGGTGTTCCTACACCCAGGTGCACAGCACGCTTCTCCAGCAACTTTACCTGCTCCTGGACCTATTTATTCCAAGATGGAAGAGATGAAAGAAAAGAAGAGTCATGAGAAAGTGCAATCATAGTCACTTTATCTAGAAGTTAAAAAGTAAAAAGCAAATACGGCTATGTTTAGGCTCAACTTCCAGTGCAAAGAAGGTTAATTAACATCAAGATAGAAAAGCATCATTCTGTAAAATTGGTAAATCTTCAAAGAAACGAGGGACCAAACCTCAGCTTCTGTGCAGGAATCTTGGAGCACAGAGGAGTAGCGACTGTTGTTGGGGCAGGTCATGCAAAGGCAGGGAATGTAAAGAACACCAGAACAGTTGTTAAATATGATATATAAGGAGGCACCAAAGAAAACACCTGCTAAGGAGATAAGAAAAAGCTAGGAGTGGCCCTTAAGGATAACTTACAACATCCATCAGCAACCACAGGCCCTTGCTTACCTTTATGTGTTTTGCAAATAATTTCATAACTTTGCTGTCTCCTCTGAATGCTGTCATTGACCTAATGAAAAAAAAAAGATTAATAAAAAAAGATGAATGCTTAAGAAAACTTATTCATTGCAGGCCACATTGACAACTTAAGTATGTCTTGCTTTAAAGAGAATATATGTGTTTATATGTGTAACTATGAGCATATGCATGTGTATATATACACAGATACAAAAAACAGATTTACAGGTCAGCCCATCTCTGGAAGGAAAGTGAGGAAGCCTTTTATTCAGGCAGGTATCTGGATTGGCTTCTACTTTTCATACACAAGGTTAACTTTACTTAGGTTTCCTTGATAACTGAAACATAATGGATCTGCCCTTCATTTGTAATACAGAATTTCTGTATTACAGGTCCCTGGCAGAGAATTCATCTTTAAACTCTGCAGTATAGTTCTCATACAAAATTTGGTTGTAAGAAATACCTTGGAGCAGTGATGTCAGCCTGTGCTCTGTGGAGCCCAAAGGCATCTACAAAAGTTTGTATGTTACTGCCATGGTGGGTTGCTGGGAATGAGCTGACAGGGAGGAGAAGAAAGGCTTATGTCCTTCAATCAGAGCAATGCCCCACTTTTATCTACTTTGCAGAGTGAGCTTTTCTGCAAAATTTTATATGTGGAAATGTTCCTGGTATCAATAGACATAAAAGAACAATCAATCCTTTAATTGATGTTTGGAAATAGAACATGGGAATATGCTTGGAAATATTATTGCCAGTAGGAATATATGAATTTGCAAGATAGTAAATTATACTATCTAAGTTCTGTTGTATTTGACTTTTACTCATACATAAGCTTTCTCCATGGCAAGGTTAACTAGGAAGACAGTTTAGGGGACATATTTAACATTAATTCATGGTCCTCAAAAGAACAGATATCCTTATAAAAGTTAGAATTATTCACTATTAGTCTTTATGAACAGGGCTTGTTGTGCTAGCTCAGAAATCCTTTTTTGCAAATCACCTAACCTTGAAGTGGATCGTAATACCAAAGACACAGAAGAACACGGAATTGGTAAATGAAGTGTGACAACACAGTGCTTTTATGCCCTTCAGAAAGTTATTTATGTACAGTAAAAGCTCAAATCAATGTGACAGCTTGTTTTTAAGAGGCCATCTCCAGGCCAACCTCTTTGCCATTAATGTTTGGATCCGAAATGAGTTCTGTGGTGGTAGTTTCTAAAACACTGAAAAGTCAATGTGAACTACTATGATTTCAGAACCAGCAAGTACAGCTGCCCAGAAACAGTTGGAGTCTTGAAGATCAATTGTGTTCGGAGCAGAAATAGTTGCAAGAAACACTTTTGTTTTACTGAGAGCTGGTGTGATATAATATTATGTGTGTGCCTTGGCGGGGAAAGGAGAGTTTAAAGAACTTAAAAACTACTTTTCTAAATTTGTAATCAGATTAGTTCATTTAGAAAAATAGATGCTAGGGGCGCCTGGGTGGCTCAGTTGGTTAAGCGACTGCCTTCGGCTCAGGTCATGATCCTGGAGTCCCGGGATCGAGTCCCGCATCGGGCTCCCTGCTCGGCGGGGAGTCTGCTTCTCCCTCTGACCTTCCTCCCTCTCGTGCTCTCTGTCTCTCATTCTCTCTCTCTCAAATAAATAAATAAAATCTTTTAAAAAAAAAAAAAAAGAAAAATAGATGCTAAATAATTACTGAGAGTCTACATGTGCACCTTAATTTATTTTCTCCAGGACTTGGATTTTCCTTTGTTTTGTCTCTTGTCAAACCCTGGTGCAGAGCCTGGCCCTGGAAGAGGACTAGTTCCAGTAAATCCCAATTTACTCTGACGGCTCTTCTCTGAAAGCTCAATGTTACCACTGATCCAGTGGAAGACTTTTTGTTTTTTCTACTATACTACAGTAAATGAAAAGGTATGTGAAAGCACTTAGTAAAGCACTGACAAATTATCTTTAAAACATAATTTTTATATTTAAATTTTCAGCCCATTTGGAATTTACCTTGGTATGAGAAGTGAGATAGGGCTCCAACTTACTTTTCCAGATGGTTACCCAGTTGTTCCAACACCATTTATTAAATAATCCATCTTTCCCTACTGCTTTGTTACCTTTGCCATATGCTACGTTTTCATATGCATATGGGCCTATTTCTGAACTTCCAATTCTGTTCCACTGGTCTGATCTGTCATGCATACGCCAGTTCCATTCTGTTTTAATTAGTGAGACTTGGTAACATATATCTATTGGTAATCTGATAGATACTATAGGCATAGTATCCTCTCACTAATATTCTTTTTCAGAATTTCCCCAGGTATTTTTGTCTTCTGTATTTTCTCTTATGAACTTAGAACTATGGCTTATCTTTAAACTTTGAACTTTAGCTTATCGAGATAGAAAACCAATTCTATTGGAGTTTTGTTGGGAATCTGTGAAATTTATGTTATTCTAGGTAAAACAGACATCTTTACAACATTGACTTTTTTTTTTTGAAGATTTTATTTCTCATTTCACACACAGAGAGAACGAGCAAGTATAAGCAGGGGCAGCAGCAGAGGGAGAGAGAGAAGCAGAAGCTGAGCAGGCAGCCCAATGCAGGACTCCATCCCAGGACCCTGGAATCATGACCTGAGCCAAAGGCAGATACTTAACTGACTGAGCCGCCCAGGGATCCCTACATTGATTCTTCCTATTCAGCAATATCGTATGCCCTTTTGTTCAAGATCTTCTGAGTTGTGGGGCACCTGGGCGGCTCAGTGGGTTAAGTGTCCAACTCTTGATTTTGGCTCAGGTCATGATCTCAGGGTTGTGAGATGGAGCCCCACATCAGGCTCTGTGCTGGGCATGGAGTCTGCTTAAGATACTCTCTCTCCTCTCCCTCTGCCCCTCCCTGCCCCCGTCCCCTCTTAAAAAAAAAGATCTGAGCTGCTTATGTAATATTTTCTTTATACAGATTTTGGTAGGTTTATTACTTGGTCTTCTATTTTTTTCTTGTTATTATTTTAAATTAGATCTTTTCTTTTATTATTTTTTCCAACTGGTTATTGCTTATTATTTCCTTGCTTTTACTCTTGCCCTGTATAACATGTGTTCTCTGCACAGAAGCCAAGGTGATCCTTTAGAAAGATTATTCAGATCGGGCGCCTGGGTGGCTCAGTTGGTTAAGCGACTGCCTTCGGCTCAGGTCATGATCCTGGAGTCCCTGGATCGAGTCCCGCGTCGGGCTCCCTGCTCGGCAGGGAGTCTGCTTCTCCCTCTGGCCCTCCCCCCTCTCATGTGCTCTCTCTCATTCTCTCTCTCTCAAATAAATAAATAAAATCTTTAAAAAAAAAAAAAAGAAAGATTATTCAGATCATGTGACGCCTCTGCTCAAAATCTTCCAATAGCATTGCATCTCAGGGTCTTTTATGCTTATTGTCCACTCTGTCTGGAATAATGCTCTTCTTCTAGATATCTGCTTGGCATTCTCCTTCACTTTGTTCATGTCTCTGCTCAAATGTCATTCTCCTTAGAAAAACTTACCGTGACAATCCTTTTAAAAGTAGCCCCCCAACCCTCTCTATCACTTTGCCATGCTTTATTTCTTCTTATATAATTTAACACTACCTGACATTATAATATATATTTATTTGTTCATTGTCTGTCTCCCTCACTAGAAAGTAAGTTCCATGACAAAAGGGATTCTGTCTGTTTTGTTCACTGTTACATCTCCAGCATATACAGCATATCAACTTGACACATATCAGTTACTCAGAAAACATTTATGAAACAAATAGGTGAAGTGTCCAACCTAATGAGCTCCAAGGCCCGGATAGCAGAGCTACAGATGATCAGCATTAGGACCGATTTCTTCTCATTATGGTTCTTCCGAAGTTTTACCCACTTAGGGCAGACTGAAAAAATACCATAAGAAAAATATTACTCTAAATATAGCAAAATAGGGCTCCTATTTATTTTAGGTCCCTAAAGTTGAGTATTCTCCAATTACTCTTTGTTAGTATTTAATTAAAGTAAAATATAATGGGTATTGTCCAGATTCTATTCTCTGGTTATATAAGATATTAGATTAAAATGAAATATCATTAACTTATAACATAAAACACATAATATGCCAAGTAGCTAAATGTGACTAGTTTTAGGACCAAGTAAAAAAAGTGTTCAGAATAATACATTTTTGATAATTTACGTTTGATGCTTGTTGGCAAAGACTAAATAGGAAAAGAACTCTGATTCAATAATGTTAAATTTTAAAGAAACACTCAACATAAGATAAAAAATGGAAATGACATTAAAATAATAGCAAGCATTTATTAAACACAGACACTGTTTAGTTCTCATAATCCAGTGAGGTTGATTCTATTATAACCTACATTTATACTTGCTGAATTTGAGGTGGAGAAAGGTTTATGAACTCAAGTTGAATGCCATCAGAACTGATTTGAGTTTGAAAAAAGAATGCTAAATCTCTATATCTAAACTATTTCATTGTCAGCCACAAATAGATGACTATCTAATATGAATAATCTGGCTTTTGGCTACACACAATAAATATTGAAAAGATGAAATTAGATTGTGCAATAGCCATGGTCTGAGTTCTGAGCATATGAACAGAATTTCAGAATTTTACAGCTAGAATGAAGATCACATGTCCAACTCCCTTATCTGTCAGATAACAAAATCAAGTCCCAGAAGAGTACTCAGTGACTTGTCCCAGGTCAAACAGCAAATTAGTGACAGACCTGGAACTAGAACACTAATTATTCTCCGGATTCCTTCACCAATATTTCTAGTGTATTATAAACCAAAAAATGAGACCAAAACTCAAATTCTCAAAGCCAGAGCAAAACGAATAAACTTAAATAAACAGAAATTAATATCAAGATGGACTTTAAGAAAAACCTCCACTTCAAATCCATTTGAGGTGGAAAGTTTTGCTTTTAAATGTAGTTTTAAAAGTTTTAATTTTAACGAGATGGATCTTATGTTTTAATGGAGTAATAACAACTTGGTGAATAACTTAAAAGAAAATCATAGTTTACTTACTTTCTTTTAGGTATGATGAAAGACTATGAGTCAAATCATTGGCCTTGAGGAAACAGGAGTCTAGAATATGACAAACATGCTTTGTAAGAGGATTTTGCAAACACACACATGATCAAAATAGATTCATTGTGAATGGTGTCTTCTTGAATAAGGTTGTAAAACATTAGTGAATGGGGGCTCATTATATATTTTAAAGTGTTGTCCAGTATTTAAAACAACAGCAGCAATAAGAACAAGTAAACTTTTAACTGTCCATAATTTCTTAGAGTAGTGAAATAGAAGCTTGTTGTATCATTCAATGAACTAATGAAGCATGTTTATTTTTCAAATTCATGGAATAGGCAGTATTACAAAGGTAAAGGGGATATAGCTAACAAATCTGTGTAGAGAGGTTCAAACTCACTAGTCATCATAGAATTGTATATTACAATGATGAGGTAATACTTCACACACACATCAGAATGACAGTTGTCAAAAAGATGTATAATACCAAGTATTGTCAAGAATGTAGGGTGATAAGCCTCTTGTGAAATGTAGGTGGAGGTGTAAACTGGTAATAGCTATTCTGGAAAGTAGTAAAATTAGGTTGTATACACTCTATGACCCCATGATTACATTCCTGAGTAAATAATGGAAAGAAATTCTTACGTGTTCTATAAAGAGATATACACAAGTATATTCATCCTATCATTATTTGTTATAGCGGGGAGCAGGAAGCAACCTAGGTGTCCATATCTGAGAAAATGGATGACCAATACGTGGTAGATGAAATCATTGGCATACTGTATAGCATTTAGAAGCAATGAACTTGATGTGCATAAAGCCATATAGGCATATCTCAAAAAAGTGCTCAGTGAAGAAAGAGACAGAATGAGAAGTTCAGCACATCATTTAGATAAATTGTAAAATGTACACACATACCAACAACATGACATTTTACGAATATATATACATATTTAAAAGCATGTATTAACACATTAGCGTGAATGCTATGGGGAAGGTAAAGAGGTGTGTGGACTGAGGAAGAGTGGGAATAATGCATCAAAACACAACACAACACAACACCAGAGTAAAAGTCAATATAACAGTAAAATAAAATATAGGGGCCTTGCTCAACCAAGGACTATCACGGTCTGGCAATTATGTAGCATTATTAACTCTGTACCTGAGATGTGAAAAAAAGCAACATCATGTTTATTATTCTAATTCTTTCTATAAGAAAAAGGTTTTCTATAAACACAGAAGAGTGCTAGGGAGTAAACTATTACTAAATTAAATGACATTAATATTGTGACCTAGCATATATAAGTCGTATTATGTAAGTTAACTTCAAAGATGTTGCTTCCTATACAGCTGTAGAGACTTCGATGGTCTTTAAAACTGTAATTTCCCAAGCTGAATATGATCAGACTCACCTGGAGAACTTTACAAAAGGTACAGATTCCTAGGACGGACTCCTTTTGTTATTAAGTCAGAATTCCTTGGTGGGGGGTGGGCCTGGGAATTTGCTTTTTAAGTTCTTGGGTGATTCAGTTGCTGCTAGCCTATAGGCATTTAGCACTGATCTAAACCACACTGCAGCTCTCAAGAGGACAGCTGAGTTAACTCCAAGAAATTCCTGCCTCAAAACTAATTAAGTGCCCATGTGTATGACATTAACAATGTAAAGTGAACAATATTAATTGAAAAGACATGTTCCTGCCCTACAGACACAAATAACCTCAAATCAAAACCAAGTTAGACACTCAGCAAACTAATAGGAACAGTACTTCATTATCTATATTCACTGTATATTTATGCCCCTGCCTCTGCCTGTTCCAGATAACCCACAGTGTGTCCCTCCTCTGCCCTACTGTGGTTCCTCTCTGTCCTTTCATATGTAGGAAACTAGGGTCTTTTCTACTAAACGTTCTCATGATGCCTTATTCACTGTGTCTCAGAATGGCCTAATTTCTTAACTGAAAATGAAAACCTGTTCTTTTTGTGTATAAAATATTTTTAACATTTTCCTTTCTTCCTAAACCAAGCCATGACCATACATTCTTGTTTTACAAGATAACTGAACTGTAACAGAGCAATTATATAATGTAAACTCACTACAGAACTCAAAAGACTCTTAAAGGTTTCTTCTGACCTCTGTATCTCTGTAATGCTAGAAAATTAAAATTTATGATGTTCCATAAGTATCCAGAGTAGCAGTGATCCCACTATCTCACAAATCCTTCCTGAGTTGAAGCTGTACTCTAACAAAGAACCAGAAGGACCAAGCAACCACTGAGTCAAACTTCAGTTAAACTTTGAACAGAAGCTTGTTGTAACACTTTGTTCCTGCGATACAGCAGTCAGGACAGAGCTCTCCTCAAAGGAACTAGGCCTGGAGAGGAGTGGTTTCTAACTGCTGTTGGAGCCGTCTAGGCTTTGTGAGTCTAAAACTCCAGATCTCACTCATGTGGAAATGTACTCCTTAAATTCTGGAAAAGAAACAGACACGGGCACTCCTGTTTCCACACTCAACGTCCTTTTATTTATTTATTTTTTTAAAGCACATCACAAAGGAATTATAAAAATTCAGGGAACAGGATGTTTTTCAGCTCCTTAAGCCTCTAGAAAGCATAAAGTTGTAACAGAAAAGGGAAATCAAGCTACCCTTGACTTTTTCCAACAGCAGTAATTAGGTATTCCTAGTAATCTATAAATAGCTCATCTGAAAGAGTGGTACCCAAACTTGGTGTGGTTTGATTTTGTAACAACATCTCTTTAATCTCTGCCCCAAAGAGTTACAGGATGTATCAGAATTTTCAAAATTAATTAAAATCAGTTGTTACAAGACTTTTGCAATATCTTTTTAACTTAATTATAAATATTCTAAGGCAGTAGATCTCAAACAATAGTAGGTTTAAGAATCACTTGGGGTGAGGTGTCGGCTTTGCTAAAAATGCAGAATTTTATTCCTATCTTTAGATACTTTGCTTGAAATAGTCTGGCCTGTGACCCAAAACACTACCATAAAAATAAAACTGTAACTAGAAATCTGTGATAAGGACAACAAAACTAAGATGCTTATTAAAGCTAAAGTTTGGGCACCTGGGTGGCTCAGTTGGTTGAGTGTCCAATTCTTGGTTTCAGCTCAGGTCATGATCTCATGGGTCATGAGATTGGGCCTGGCATCGAGCCCCTGACTGACCTTTGGGCTCCCTTCTCAGCATAGAGTTTGCTAGAGATTCTTTCCCTCTCCCCATCCCCCCACTTGTGCGTGTGCACTTCTCTTTCTCAAATAGATAAATCTTAAAAAAAAAGCTAAAGCTCTTGTCTATAGAGGATGAGTAAACTAATGTTTCATATCTATACTTTTAAATGTGTGCTTTATCTTTAATTTAACTTCTTTCCTCAACTAGGGATTCTTACTCCTTCAAGAACGCTAAAAAAAACGCACACTCAACAATTAGCTTTTTTAAAAAAAAGCAATTACAAACCTTGTTTATTTATTTTTTTAATTAAAGATTTTATTTTTATTTAGTTGACGGAGAGAGCACGAGAGAGCACGAGCAGGGGGAGAGGGAGAGGGAGAAGCAGGCTCCCCACTGAGCAGGGAGCCCGATGTGGGGCTCGATCCCAGGACCCTGGTATCATGACCTGAGCTGAAGGCAGATGCTTAACCAACTGAGCCACGCAGGTGCTCCCAAATCTTTCTTTAGATTGAACAAATACCATTTAGCATCTTAATAAAGAAATCATTCAAAAGTTAAAACTGTGAGGTTGAGGAAGGGAGTATTAGCATGTGGAAAATACATTGATTCACTGGCAGAGATACCTAGTTATAACATACATAGTGGAGAAAAGATAAACCCTCTTTGCTCCTCCGCATCAGGAAAGTTGATAGCAATAACAATGAGTCCTGCTAAATGATTAACTTCAGAATAGTAAGGGAAAAAAAAAAAAAAAAAGGAGGAAAAAAGCCAAACAAGTCTGGCTGTACCTGGTAGGTTTAGTTCTTCTAATTCAATCACTGAGCGACTGCTGCTGTAATAGTCCTTCATCAACTTCTGTAGGTCTTCAGGGGTCCCTGGTTTTGGCTCTGATTTTGCAAGAACATCAGTAATTTTCTTCTACAACACGAGAAGGAAGAAAAAAACCTCAGGAAGATAGATTTTAGAATGATGTTAGCTTAGAATAGCTAAGAATCCTCTGGTACTTAAACTGCTTATAGATTTTGGTGATAGCTGAGTATGAATGTGAGTTCTAATAAATACACTTGAAAAAACTTAGTAAATAAATACTTTTTGGATACAAATACTGCTTTGAAAAATGAATGGGTGATCTAAAAGTCTCTTTGTAACTTTTGGTCAATGGCTTTCAGGAGAACTGAAATTTCTGTAGGAGTCTCCATAATAGGGCATTCCTTTCTGTTAAAAGCCAAGAAATCTTGTTGCTGTGGGAACCTCTCTTTAATCCTTCAATGACTTTTATTCCCAAGAGTAGAATTTTGAGAATTTTTTGCCAAACCTGGTTTTTAAGGCACTGAGTCTCAGTTTGGTTTTCTGGGATTAAGGTAAAACCTGCAGGAGTAATCTGAGCATTGGAGCCCACTGCAAAGGAGGACTGTAGACTCTCGATTGTCAAGTCTTGGGAGAGAGTCTTGAAGTGGCCCCATGGAAAGCATAACAGGAATAACCTTACAGCAACAATTCTGATTTGGATTCATTTGTGTAGCATTTACTGAGTGCCTGCAACATACTAGGAACATACCACTGTTCAGTTAATTTTCATCATCAACTTTCCTTCTCATTTCCTTCTAATGTTTCACCAAAGATCCACAAAGAGCCACTCCCCACCCCCACATGTTCAACTCCTTCCACAATATCCTCATTTCTATACCACTGCCAAGAATGGTAAAAGTTCTGTCAAATGAATTAACTTTTAAAAATATGTCATCAGTAGGCACATTTTAGCATGACCTCAGCCAAGGCTAAAACTATCTGGCTAGAGTTTTGACCTTGAGCCACCAAGAACTTAACACTCCTGAAGGCCATTAGTGTACAAACTTATCAAAGAGAAGTTAAAGTCATTTCTTTAAGGACTTGCCAAACCTCAGCCAATTTGGCATCTCCCATCTTTCTATTTGGCCATTTGTGAGCAACGAAAACATATGCATACATACTCTTAACTTTCTAAAAGCTTGCTGTTAAGTAATTGGTTTGAATCCATCTTTTTTCCTCTAATCCCAATCATATTTCCTCTTCTGAATTCAGCAGTAGACCTTCTTGGCAGAGAGCGAATTACACTGCTCTTTTCACAACTGTGGTGGAAGGTCAAAGCTAACCACACTTTCTCCAAGGCTGAGCTGTAAGAAAGCCTGTATAGGAGCAATAGAGTCTTCCATGCACTCATAGGCAAATATTAAAATGTAAGGGGAGTCTTTTGCTTTAAATTATGGTTCCAAATTACGGTCAGAAATGCCTTATACTACTGTCATCTGGTTATTATTTTCTTTTTATTAATACTCTAAGATATAAGGTTTAAAAAACTGAAATGGATATGAAAAGAAAGTTGGTAAATTTCTTTCCTTGGGCACAGCCAGAAGGGCCAGAGGGCAGGACAGCTTTGGGCTTCTTCTAGACTTAGAAATTCATGTTTATCTTCTAACAACCATGAAAATGATGAAAACAAAGGTGGAAAACAAAGATGTTTGGTGCTCCACAAGACTGAAATAGGAATCAGAAGAATTTGTTTTTAGCTCCAACAGAAACACTTAATATGAGTGACCTTAGGAAAGTCACCAACCTCACTGAATCTTACAGTCTCTAAAGTGGGAATTATAACAATTGCCTCATCAAAGTACAGTATATAGAAATGTGAGGTAAATCACCTGGGTTGTAAGAAAATTGTAAGAAAGTATTAATAATACCTTTCTTCTCCTCCTTGTCTTGGTGGCATCCTCTTTTGTTTCCTTTGGTTGTATCAAGAAACATTCTTTAGGCTGTAAAGAGATACAGATGAGGAAATTTTCATCTTAGCATGATGAGGTGTCAACTAATGGTAGGGACCCCAAAGTACCTAGGTCATACATGTATTCTTCATAGTATCTTGGTAATATTATACAGACAGTGATGCCGGAAGACCAATAGGCTATTAGGCAGGGGCTGGGCTAAGGGAATTTGAGAAAATCAGAAATGGCCAATGACTTGAGACTGGAAAATCTTTGAACAAAGGTGAAAATGTGTGAGTGAGTGTATATGTGTGTTTGAAGTGGTGGTGCAGGGTATTAAAGATTGAAGACAGTGGCCAGGTTTATAAAATACAGGCAGAAATAGATGTGATTAAAATTAAGATGTGGTAAGAAAGTCTTTGACTAGAGTGACTGGCACTTTCCATGAGCTAGCAATGTGTGAGCCTGTATTTCCAAGTCATTGGTTTACTATTTTGTTATTCATTCCTTTCCTCTTTCAATAAGCATTGAAAAACTGAAATAGGACATATTTACTTACATTTTTATAAAACCAGCTGCACCAAATGCCTTATCTATAGTGACTACAAAATGAATGTTCCTGCTGATGGTCTGACAAAAGTCTCAGCACAATGGCATTCTGAGTAATCAATTTTGCCTGTTGACGTGACCCTTGAGTACCCTATATAGATTAGGGCTATTTTTACCCTGAAGGTTTTTATTTAATGTAGAAAAACAGGAGATTTGGATTAAGACCTTGATTTATAAAATAAAATGCCTCAGATTCCATATTTATTAATCATAAGCAGGAATATAAAATGTTTCCTGTGCTGGTTCTTTTATGCAACATTTTCAAACAAGTTGCCAAGTAAGATATAAAATATGAGTGAAAACTTATTCTGAGTTTTTCCTGGATTAAGTTTCCATCCCAACTAGAAAGTACTCAGTTTAAGCTGGTAAGCTACTATCTAAAACAATCTTGGCTCTACTGGCTCTGTTTAAAATGATTACAGATGAAGCTTTCTCTTAAAGTTTGTAGACAGCCTACAGATTAAGAATGCCCATGGCTTGAAGCCAGTAGATATCTATCTATCTATCTATCTATCTATCTATCTATCTATCTATCATCCATCTACATAATTTCTTCAAGACATGGGGACAGGACCAGCAGTTTCTAGACTCTGTTTCAGTTAGTAGAAAAGCAGATTCAAAGGTTCAGGATTAAAGTAACATGTGACTCTTGAAATTTTAGCTTCTTCTCAATTAAAACAAAAACCTGCCAAAAGCAATTGCATCATAGCTAAAGAAAAGAAAGATATTATGACCTCTCTTATTTAGAAAGTTAAGCTGTCTTGTGGATGAAGATACATGCCAATTTGATGCTGGTACATGCCAATTAGAAACTGGGCCAAGGCCACTAATATGTCACAGAAGCTGCCAGATGGTCATAAGAGTCCAATTACAGGTCAGGCCAACATTCAGTTCATATTCATAAGGCAAGGGCCTGGATATGATTAGCAGATCCCTCAAAGCGTACTGTAGTATCTTGTCACCAGTATCACGGTTTTTGGGAATCAGATGTAGAAACCTGTTCCATTTTGTTATTTAGCAAACGAGGGTTCTCTCTAACAGTATGTTCAATATGCAAGGTTGTATTTATGTTAGGTTTACAAAGCCAATTAACTCTAACATGACATAAATTAAATCTGGAAATGAGCTCGGTTATAGGGATATGGACTGTCCAATTCTGGAGGAAAAAATAAAAACTTAATTCTGAATCATGCATAGGAAAAAGAAACATGCTTGATGAACTGTTTTAGTTAAGATACTGCATGAGGTTTAAATGTTAGGTTCAAATTCTTAGATCATCCTAAAGGAAATACAGTATATTATCTGTTTTCTGGGAGCAGTTGCCTTTTGTGGTTGAGGCTGGGCAGTAATGAAGAAGCTAAGTTTACGGGGGCAATTTCCACAGAGATGAGATGGCTTTATGAAGAAATACAAAATCCATTTTATTAAAAATTCCTAAATTTAGACAGCTGCCTTACAAATACTGATGTTTACCTTCAGAGAGACTAGGTAAAAAGATATAGGAGACTCAGGCCAGACTAGCTAACCATTTCTGGAAACCAATTTCATCAGTATATGTCTTTGACAGTTGATAAGTAATTTCATTTCTTTACATGAAATCTAGTGATTTTTTAAAGCATAGCTTAAATATGTAGTTTAAATATTTAGAAATATATATGAAAAAATTAATCTTTAAGTGAAGCATTTGAGGCATATTCTCAATTCCTTGAAGTGTCAAAAATTATATCCTTTAAGAATGATTTTTCTAGTTAAACATGGCAAATCAACCTCAAAAATGCCACTAAACTAAAAATGAAGGCAACTGAAAAAGGTATAAATTTGTAAGGACCATGAAATCAGGGGAGAACATAGTAGTGGAGAGATTTCAACAATATTTTGGAATATGGAAAATGGTTGAAACATCCTTGGATGGAAGTGATTTAGCAGAAAGGTAGAGCTAGCACCAAGGTTTCTGGAGAGGTGGAAGCTAACAGTAAGTGAGGATGTTTGACCTATTGGACTCTGAAAGGGTTTGGTAGTTGGAGACACAAGGTACTACAGAGAGTGAAGGGTTTAAAAGAAGGACATTGGTTGAAAGTTTATATATAGAATGATTAGGCTCCTTCCCATCTCCCACTGGGTTATATCTCCTGCCCAGGAAGCCAAGCAACTATCTGATTACTGCTTCCTCTCATCTTGCTTTTCCTGGCAGCAGACAGGAGATTTATTCTCTGGAGAGAACAAGAGGACCAAGAAATCTGGCACAGGGAAGATAGGACAGAGGTTGAGACTCACTTCCTTTTCCTGTCCCTATTTCTAATGTCTTGAGCCAGACTTATATATTGTATGCAGGAGCCTCCTGAATTTTTTTCTGGAAAAATGAAATGGACTAAGAGAAATGCCACAAGAGAGTGACATTTGGTGGGCATAGTAAATATAGCTTGCTATCCTATTATCCTGCTATGAAGTTCACTAATCAACAAGCCTCACATATGCACAAAAATATTCCATCAGCTTTTTAGTGTCTCTCTTTTTAATATGAATAGACAGCTAAGATAAGTGTCCAACATGAAAGCAAATAAACAACAAAAAGATAAAAGGTTCAAAACAATTATAATTAATATTCTCAGACAGATAAGGGAAGAATTTCAGTCATGAGACAAAAAAGAAAACAAATAAGAAAACTGGAATAAAAATGTAGGCGGAAGGCTTGAAGACAAAGGAAATCTCCCAAAAAGATGAAAAATAGTAAGAATATCAGATAGGGAGTCAGCCCAAGAGATTCAACATCCCAATAAAAGGTATTACAGAAAAAGGGACTATATAATTGGGAAAGGAGTGATCAAAGAAATAACACAAGAAAAACTTTCCAGAATGAAGGAAACTTTTCAGAATATGAAACTCTAAACTGAAAGCCCACTATGTATACAATATAATGAATATGAAAAATATACACACTGAGGAGCATCTTTGTGAAATTTCAGATTATGGGCAAACAAAAAAGACTAAAAATTTCCAAAAAGAAAAACAATAACTTACGAAATACAAAGAGTCCAGAGAAATAATTGTGTTGGACCTTGCAATAGCAATATAGCATGCTAGGACTTAATGGAACAATGCCTTCAAAATTATGAGGAAAATTTATTTGCAAGTTAAACTTTTATACCCAGCCAAACTATGGGTCAAGTTAAGAGTAAAATAAAGGTATTTTCAGGTATTTAAGGTCTCAAAAAATTGATTTCCTATCCATAGATACAAAGGCTGTATTCCAGCAAAATAAAGGGCTAAACCAAGAAAGAGGAAGATATGGGATTCAGCAAATAAGGAAACTAATCCAGGAGAATGTTGAAGGGACAGTGAAGAGAAATCTCAATTGCTCAACAGACAAGAAAATAACCAATTCAGAGTGGAATAGGAGTATAGAGGCCTTCAGGGAAGAAAAATGAGTGATCTATTTGAGCATATGGAAAATATTATTCATGGACATGTGGGAAAGATATTGGAATATATGGAAACAATTAACAGTAGGAACACAACAAGCTAGGCAAATGAAGAAATGAGGTAATTATTAATGCCATGAAAACAAAGAGTTGTACAAGAAAGGAGGAATGATTATAGCTCCCCCTCCCCAGCACTGAACAGTAGTTCTGTGGTCATAATTGTGAGATATTGACAACCATTTTAACCAAAATGTGATATTGTGTTAGCAGAATTAGCAGTCAGAGAGGGAATAAGGGGTAGATGGGAGAGCTGTGTCCTCATATGCTATCACAGGAAGTTAATAGATCATGTCAGGAGCTGATAAATCAAAAAACAGCAGTATAAACTATACACTAGCACGTATGAAAAATAGCTAAAAGCGGAGGGTAGTTGCCTCTGAAGAAAGACCTATCATGAGAGCAGGAAAGGTGATGCTGTTTTTTAATGAAAAACTTTTAATAGTGTTTGATTATCACTTTGTTAAAAAAAATTAAATTGCCATTTTTACAACAAAAACAAATATGTTCGTTGTAAAAATAAAAAAAAAATTAGAACTGGCTTTTTAGTTTCTTTTGGTTTTGGTCAAAAGTTATTTAGTACACACCCATCAAAATGTCTAAAATTAAAAGACTGATAATTTCAAATATTTACAAGGATATAAAACAACCAAAACTGTTATATATGGATGGTGGGAGTATAAAAATGGTACACTGGTTTTGGAAAAAAGTCTGTCAGTTTTTAGAAAACTAAACATGACTCAGCAATTCTACTCCTATGCATTTACTCAAGAGAAATAAAAGTGTTCACAAAAGACCTGTATATGAATGTTCATGGCAGATTTATTCACAATAGCTCCAGAGAGGAAGTAGCCTCAGGTATCCATCAATAGAAAAATCGATAAACTGTGAAGTATTCATATAATTGAATATTATGAAGTGTTATGAACTGAATTGTACCCTCCTCCCTCCCATTCATATTTTGAA